CGGAGCCGAGACCCTGAGTGGAGTCCCTGTTCTGCCTGTCCTTGCTCTGACTGTGAGCAGTGACTGCCTCCTGGGTTCAGTTTTCCTACTTGGGAAATGGGATGTTGGGTAATGTCCTCAAAGAGGGACAGAAGAGGGTCCACACAAGATTGAGCCTAGGAAAGAAGGTCCTGGTGGACCGTGGCGCCTCTATGTGCTTGCAGGAGCGGGGGCGCTGCCACTGCTGCTGGCCCCTGCTCCCTCCCACCCACCGCCTCCCCAGGCTGAAAGCCACTCTGATGGAAGCCCCCTGCCCTGCTCTGCTCCCCTTCTCCCTTCCCCCACTCCTGCCTCTGGGAACTGAATGTGGGACATTGACCTAAAAATTCCCTTCGTTTGGGTAGCAGAGATCATTCTCAGAAAGCAGTATTTTCTTACAATTCCAGTGTATAAGAAAAAAACAATAACAAAACCTATGACCTCAGAGCAAAGTATTGATGAAAAAGCATGCGCGTGCACACACACACACACACACACACACACACACAGAGAGAGAGAAATAAGCTCAGTGGGAGGCATTTTGCTTTACTATTATTATTTATTTATTTCTAACTTTAAAATTATGTATTTATTTTTATTTTTATTTTCGTTTTTTGTGTTGGAGTCTCCCTCTGTCATCCAGACTAGAGTGCAGTGGCCGCTCCCGGCCACCGGAGCCTCGACCTGCTGGGCTCTGGCGATCCTTCCGCCTCAGCCTTCCGAGTAGCCAGAATTACAGGCGTGCGCTACCACGCCCGGCTAATTTTTTGATTTTATTGTAGAGATGAGGTCTCGCCTGCCCAGGCGGGTCTCGAACCCGCGGGCTCAGGCAATCCACTCACCTCAGCCTCCCAAAGGCGCGGGATTACAGGCTGAGCCACCGAGCCTGGCTCACAATGGGAATTTTAAGACAGAAAGCAGGTCATGTCTGTCCTTGGTTCATAACCAGTGGTGGCTTCCCACGTTAATCCAAATAAAATCCTCAGAAGAGACACATGTCCCTGATGGCCTATATAAAATAACCTCACCTACACCTGTTCCTTATTCCTTCACCCTCTTTTTGTTATAGCTCTTAACACCCATTGGCATGCCCTTTACTTGGTTACTTATTTATAATTGGCCTCTCTACCACTGGTATGTAAGCTACATGAGAGCAGGGACTTTATCTTTCTGTTTTATAGCTCTGGTATCCAAAACAGTATGCATGGCATAAAGTATGCAATGGATGGATGGACAGGAGGATGAATGGATGGATGATGGGTGGGTGGATACAAGGATAAGATTGTCACCAAAAAGCATAGAAAATAAGCAGACTATGTATTAGTCCTCTTTTATAGGTTAGGATACTAAGAGAATGAAATCATATTAGTAAAAAAGAAAAGTGAAATTATTTACTCAGTGTTATTCAGGAGTACAGTCAGGTCTCTCTTTCTCTTTCTCTCTCTTTCTCCTTCCTCCTCTTACTATTGTTCTCTCTCTGCCTTTCATCTTTCCCAAACCCACACATGTACCTACACATGCATGCAAAATCATGCTCAAGGAGGATGAAATAAGAACATTCTCCTCATTAATGGAAGTACAAAGTACTACCCTGTTTGCTACAATTTCTAGCCAATTTACATCATAGCAGTAAAACTTTTATATTATATACCTATGTGTGTGAGATACATATGCATATATATAATTACAAGAATTATATAAGCCTATTGGTGCAGAATCAAGTGAAGATGACATCCAGGTAAAGATTATACTGGAATTAGGCATTTTCTATAAACCTTGGTTTGTGGTCGTATCTCCTTTCTGAATACATGGTAAGAAAGAATCTATTGTTTTGCCTGCCAAAATATATATATCTGGAATCTACTGCTGGTTCCTTCAACATTTTGCATGAAAGCTTTTTCAAATAAGATGGGACGTTGATTGGGTCCTTTCTGCCTTGCAACAGTCAAAAACTTTTAAGGTCCTGAAGATGATTTTTTTTAATAAGTGAACATGTCCAGAAATTGAGATTGTTTTAGTCAGAAGTCTTACCTTCCTGTTCTCAGAATGAATTGTAGCGTCCCTGGAGTAGAAAAGGGTGTTTAAGGTTAATTGCTGTTGCTATATAGATATCAACTACTTTTTCAAAGGGCTATCCGATGGGATTTGCCACTTGGCAGTTTGTCTAAAAACTAGCGGAAAATGTAGGGAGCGGGGACGGTCCAATTTGGTTGTCAACCTAGTTGATCCTTCAGTTTTGAATAAATGACAATAATAATGTCTTGGGCCCTTTCAGTTACTAAAGAGCTAACTACACAGTTTTGTTTGGTTGAATTTCAGTTTAGAAAATTGGAAACTTAGTGTATGTTTTCAACTGATAGCATTAATATCTTTCACCTCCTTCCTCTTAGAAACATTAAGCATAACGTCAAGACATAACTTGAAAAGCAGATTGATTTTTTTTTAATGAAGCCTAAATTCATTGTGTGTAACGAGACCAATTTCAGATCATTCTTTCATCAAGTAGTTAAAGCTTTTTTTTTTTTTTTGAGTTGGAGTCTCACTCTGTCGCCCAGACTGGAGTGCAGTGGCCGCTCCCGGCCACCGCAGCCTGGACCTGCTGGGCTCCGGCGATCCTTCCTCCTCAGCCTTCCGAGTAGCCGGAATTACAGGCATGCGCTACCACGCCCGGCTGATTTTTTGATTTTTTGTAGAGATGAAGTCTCGCTGCCCAGGCAGGTCTCGAACCGACGCCGCTCAGGCAATCCACTCACCCCAGCCTCCCAAAGGCGCGGGATTACAGGCTGAGCCCCCGAGCCCGGCTTAGTTAAAGCTTTTAATAAGGCAGAAAATGATGGTTAAAGGGAACGATAGCTTTTGCTCATGAGTATAAAATAACCATTCATGTCATAGGATAGAGCAATGCCAAAGTTCATTTTGAAACTCAGACTTGCAGATGAGCAGAGAAAAGTGTGGGATTAGTATGGATATATGTGTAATTCCAATGTGGGAACTCTGGCTTCATCTTGACTGCACAACTTGGAAGCTGTGTAACCAAGGGCAAGTTACTTACCTATCTGAAGCTCAACTTCTGGAGATATAAAATGAGGATGGTAAAATCACCTATTTTGGCAGGGCTTTTGTGAAAATTAAATGAGGTCATAGTTCTTTTTTTTTGAGTTGAAGTCTCACTCTGTCGCCCAGACTGGAGTGCAGTGGCTGCTCCCAGCCACCGCAGCCTCGACCTGCTGGGCTCCGGCGATCCTTCCGCTTCAGCCTTCCAAGTAGCCAGAATTACAGGCATGCGCTACCACACCCAGCTGATTTTTTGATTTATTGTAGAGATGAGGTCTCGCTGCCCAGGCAGGTCTCGAACCCGCGGGCTCAGGCAATCCACTCACCTCAGCCTCCCAAAGGCGCGGGATTACTGGCTGAGCCTTTGAGCCTGGCGAGGTCATATTTCTAAAAATGTTTTGTAGCTATAGTTCCAAAAGTGTTTTGTAGCTGTGATAACATATAGGATTTTACTGTGCTGTAATAATTCACCAAATACTCTTCCTGCCTCTCTCTATCTCCTAAAGCCACTTCTCTAAGGTTTAATGAAAGTTGCCTCCCATCCTTGAGGTCTGCTTATTCCTACTGTTTCAGGTTAGGATACTTCTCACTAAGTAAATGAAAATTTCTGGTAGCATCCATATCTGAACTAGCCTGCCTAAGCCAGACTAGAACTAAGGCCTTCTCTGAAACTCAAATTATTATTGTACATACATGACCAAGCAGCTCCCTAAGACCTTTAGGGGAATTGGAGATAGAAATTAAAAAGTGGAGGAAATCTCTTCTTTCCCCACCAAAGATGGAATATTGTTCCATTTTTCTCAATATTTTTTCTGTCTATAACAGAAAAATTACTATTTAATGAACACTTATTAAATGCCAAACACTGCGCTATGCATTATTTCATGTAATCATCATGACAGGCTAATGCATTCTGTACTGTTGTGCTACTTATAGACAAGGGAACTATCATGAGAGTAATTAAGTAGCTTGAGTAGTGTCACAAATCTAGTAAGTGACAGTCAGGATTTGAACCCAAACCTGCCCAATTCCTTTTCCAGGCCTTTTCCATTATTCACTTTCAACGTTTCATCTTCTTTTGCAAGTCTGTGTTTGCCTTTTTATCCTTTTGTATTTCATCCTTGGTGTGCCAATAATGACTGAGGCAGTAGCCTGGCACAAAGATGCCTAAAGTGTGGTCTCTCTGCTTAAGGAACTGTTATAATAGCAGAAAGATGACAGAAAACAGACCACTCTATGACATGGAAGAATTTAAGAAGTTAACTGATAGAGCACCAGCCCCCTCCCCTGTAACATAGAAATAACGCTCTGCCCTAAAAGATTGTTATGATAGAGTGAAATGTTTGTGTCAAGTATTTAGCAAAGACCCTGACTTATACTAAGTTGTCCGTATTGCAAATCTAATGTGTCCAGACAGTCCAAGGACAGTAACTAGGAGACCAAGCTAGAAAAGCAAGTTGGAGCCAGATTTGGGTAGCCTTGAATGCCAGTCCAAAGAGTTTAGACCTTCAGCCTGATAAGAGCAATTGCGCCAAGTTAGCAATCATTCTGAGAAGAAATTAGAACTGATGTTATTTTACATTACCTCTCAAAATTCATTGTGAGTGAGATGGAGTTGATGGAAACAGTTGGAACCAGTTTAAAGGAGTTTTGTATTTGATGTACTAAAAAGAAAGATGATATTTTCAAGTTTAATGCCTTTTATTTTTTCTTCCACAGTAATTAGTGAATGCCAGAGGCAGGAACTGGAGGCCGTGAGCTACTCCTCTCGCTATGCTCTGGGCCTCTTTTATGAAGCTGGCACGAAGATTGATGTCCCTTGGGCTGGGCAGTACATCACCAGTAATCCCTGCGTACGCTTCGTCTCCATTGATAATAAGAAGCGCAATATAGGTCAGTACCCCCATTATTTCCTTTAAATACAGTAACAATGGTGGGTGTAGATCATGAAAAATGCTGTTTAATTGAGTGTTGCCATTCTGAACAGAGCAAGCATTTAACTCCAAGCCACAGGGGATAAAATTTAATGTCACATTTGGCCAGTAATAAAATACACAGTGAAACCAGCAAAGTTTTTCACAAAATCATTCACCACATGGTTTGTATTACTGAGTTCAGGAAAATAGTGTCAGAAGGTTTAAGATTTCAAAATGACCCAAGTTATAATGCTTTAGTAGACCTATCTATATGCAAATTTATCTCTCATCATTTGTTTCCTGGTAGGGTTTATTTTTGCTTGTTTGGTTTGGGCTTTTTAAAATTTGGTAAGTGCTGCTTTTTCACTCCCCTGGCTACAAATAAAAGGTGAATTTTACTGTTATGAAAATCCTTCTTTTTAATATAACTTTATTTTTTATTTACATTTCATCTGAAAAAATATGGTAAAATTACTTTGTATGCAAAGTAATTATTATGATGGGTAATATGTTTCATGAGATCTTTACTAGAATGTGATGAAATCTGTACTCCACTTTTTTGTTGGATATTGTTATAAAAATTAGATTTGAATTTCAAGAAAACCATAACTGATTCATTTTAGGCAAAAAGATGAAAGTGTATTCTTATTTGTAGGATTTTGGTGAGCCTTGAGATACTGATTTTTGTGGAATAAACTATAATGATCTAGAATGACTAAACTCCTGAAAGGAAACATCATTTCAATCTGTTACAGTTTTTTATGGGGCAGTGATGGCTTCATCAAGCCATTAGTTATAAGTCTGGCTTGATAAAATCACCAACTAATGTCTCTTGGCTTGCCAGAACTTTATAATGATAGCACTGGGCTGGAGTATGGTTTTTATATCAGAGCACATGATCTTAGAAAAATGTTTCTTTTATAACTTAAAACTCCCTTAGGGCTGGACTGTTTATGTTAACATGATACCACATATACGTACAATCAGCAGTTCATGAAATGCCCTATAACAGCAACAGACTAACCATTTTTAACTCTACAACTGCTTTGTTCTGAGAAAAGAAAATAGTCCTTGATCTTCTCATATTATATGCCATGAATTAGACATTATCCTTTGTGTATTACATCATAAGATATGATATCTGTTATGGTGTATTCAACTGTATATAACAGAAAAAAAATTTAAACTTGTTTAACAACATAAGGACATTTGTTATATTATCTGCTGTGGACCGAACTGTGTCTCTTCCAGATTCATATGTTGAAGCCTAAATTCTCATATAGATGTATTTGGAGATAGGGCTTTTAGGAGGTAATTAAGATTAAATGAGGTAGGGTCCTAACTATATAGGATTGATCGCCTAAAAACAAAAGCAAAAGAGCTTTCTGATCTGGCTTGCAGATGGCCTTATAAGAAGAGCAAAAGCGCTTTCTGATGTGACTTGCACATAACATGTGAGGATGTAGCAAGAAGGCAGCTGTCTGAGAGCCAGGGAGAGAGTCCTCACTAAGAACCAAATCCACCAGCACCTTATCCTTGGACTTCCCAGTCTTCGGAACCATGAGAAATTTCTGTTGTTTAAACCACCAGTTAGTCTCTGGTATTTTGTTATGGTAACCTGAGTTGATTAATACATTATTTAAGAAGAAGAGCTGGACTCGGTGGCTCAGCCTGTAATCCCACGCCTTTGGGAGGCTGAGGTGAGTGGATTGCCTGAGCCCACGGGTTCGAGACCCGCCTGGGCAACTTGGCAAGACCTCATCTCTACAATAACTCAAAAATTAACTGGGCTTGGTAGTGCACACCTATAGTTCCAGCTTCTTGGAAGGCTGAGGTGGAAGGATCGCCGGAGCCCAGCAGGTCGAGGCTGTGGTAGCCGGGAGCGGCCACTGCACTCCAGTCTGGGCGGCCACTGCACTCCAGTCTGGGCGACAGAGTGAGACTCCAACTAAAAAAAAAAAAGAGAGATTAGAGAAGCTTCAAGGTTTGTCAATTCAGGAACTGAGCAATATCTTCAAGGACCTAGGATTTATCTTTCTCTGCTCTCTTCCACTCTTGATGTTGACATCCTTAGAGGACTGGTAGCAAGATGGCGATAACTGTGGGAATCACACTGAAACCCAACAACATGCTTAGGAAAATGGGGAATTATCACTGATTCTGTTCCTTTCTAAGAATCAAGGAAATCTTTCCAGAAACCCCTTAATAGACTTCTCCTCAAATGTCATAGCTCAGAATTGGGTTCCTCAACCAGTCCAAAACCGGTCACTGACAACGGGGTAAGCCTAAACAAATCAGAATCTATTTCTGGAACTGGTTTTAGGGTCATCTCTTCTTTAGTCATCTGAACAAAAATAGAATTTTGTTAGAAAGAAAGAGGTAGCAATTGCTAGGTAGGCAATCAGTAATGCCCATTATCTTCACATAGTCACAATCTTTAGAGGTGAAATTCTAAAGTTGGCATATAATGAGAAGAGAGTCACATAAATTCTAAATCACCTTCAAGATTTTTAAAAACTACATGACATTTTGGAGAATGACATAACAACTATCAGTAATTTCAGTACAGTCAGTTTTCCAACATTCACTAGATTTTTGTTTCTTTGAGTAAAGCCAGATTAAATAGTTGGTTTGGATTTATAGGACAGAGTGATATTTTCTACTATGAAAGGTACACAAAATGAAAGATGTAGCAGAGTCATGTCTCCTAACAACTAAATCTGCTGTACAAATGAAGTGGTGTGGTAGGGAAAAACACCCACACTACAGGACAGTAATCATTTATAAAATTATGCAAATTTGAAGGAGTGTAACACCCAAATATTAATAAACTCTCATGTAATTGGCAGTATTTGAAATAATCGAATTTTTAAAATTATATCAAGAATCACAATTTTATAGCCGGGCGTGTTAGCGCGCGCCTGTAGTTCCAGCTACGTGGAAGGCTGAGGCGGAAGGATCACTGGAACCCAGCAGGTCGAGGCTGTGGTGGCTATGAGCGGCCACTGCACTCCAGTCTGGGCAACAGAGTGAGACTCCAACCCCCCCCAAAAAAAGAATCACAATTTTAAAACTACAGGGCTAGGTAAACTGGAAAGCATATTTTACCACAGCTAATGGAGGTACCACTTCAGCTGGCAAAGAAATACCTGACATTCTTTGTCAGTTGTATGGAAAATTAATCTTCAATTGTGCATGTTTTAAGTTATGTGAGGACTCCAGTGGTGGCATTCCTTAACACAAAATATAACTGCCTTACATTTAAACTATTTTTTTCCTCACTATCTGAGGGCCAGGCTACTAAGTGTGTCTAGTTGAATCACATACTATACATGCCCATATAATATAACTTCAGTGTATTTATTGATCCTGATACTTACCTAGGCTAGTAAGAGATGTTTCTTTATGCCACTAACACTATCCCATGCCCTCCTTTTATTTGGGGTGCTTGGTTGAATCAAGAATTAATACTTAGGTGCGGTGGCTCAAGCCTGTAATCCCAGCACTTTGGGAGACAGAGACGAGAGGATTGCCTGAGCTCAGGATTGGAGACCAGTCTGAGCAACATGGCAAGACCTCATCTCTACAATAAATCAAAAAATTAGCTGGGTGTGGTGGCACATGCATGTGGTTCCAGCTACTTGGAAGGCTGAGGTGGAAAGATCACCGGAGTCCAGCAGATTGAGGCTGCAGTGGCTGTGAGCATGTCACTGCACTGCAGCCTGGATGACAGAGTGAGGCTCTGACTCAAAAAAAAAAAAAAAAATAAGATTTAATACTAGAATGCACATACTCCACTAATAAAGGGGTGCATTTGTGTTCTGTCGAGGAAGAGCAGCAACAAGACAAAGGCTGGTAGGGTTGAGACCACAAAATACAGTCCGTAGTTAAGACTTGAAGAACCAGAGGATAAAGAAGTGGCCCAAACCAGACAAAAGTCAAGACATAATCATTTGCCAGATGTCAGGAATAGATAGTACGTGCAGAAAACCACAATCAAAACCAAAGTTTCCTTAGACAGAGGGATTAAACTCCAAGATGCACTAGACCCAACTTCAAGTACCAATAGTTATTTGTGTAACCCAATATAGTTATGCTTGTGTTTCCCAGAATGTGTTCTATGGCACATTAAGTCCTTGAAATGCTCTTTGGAAAGGGGTTCTGTCATCAAATAAGTTTGCAAAATGCTACTGATTCTACCCCTATTTGGGGGAGCCTCGAGACATTTTATTCTATCTCAAGACATATTATTCTATTGAAGGATATTCCTAGAGAAAAACATCTTCTTTTAATCTAGAATTTTCCAAATGCACATGACTGTGGAATATTTTTATTTGAGAACCAAACCTACTAACATCCCACAAAACTGGTTCCCCAGGATACACTTGAGAAACTCTAACTTGCTGTTACTTTTGTGCTTTGTACTGGGGTAGGAATTGTAGGCTATGCACATAATTGGGATGGAGAGGTCTAGTCCTGAAGGCATCCATTGGGAAATTCCTGAGATTTTTTAAAGATGAGAAAACCCTGTTGCCAATGAACTCAAATCTGGGTGGGTTAGAATTTGAGAAAATTTAAGTTAAAATAAGATCTTTATCATATTACCATGGATTTTTAAAAATTATTGATAATATTGGCATAGTGGGAATAATTTGGACTTAGAAGACCTAGATTCAAATTCTGGTTCTGAAACATGTTATTGATATGCTCTTGCATGAGCCTTGTATTTGCAGTGCTAGTTTTTAGGGCGAACACACCCAAAAACTTTAGTGGCCTGAAAAATGACGGAAGTTTATTTCTTGCTCACATAAAGTGCAAACAGGTGTTTTTATGATTCATAAGTTACTTTCTCCAAAACTTTATTCAAGGACCCACACTCCTCCCACCTTTTGACACCACCTACTTCATCAGGTAGCTAACAGTCATGGTACTCATAGGTATCTAATCAGTGGATGGAAAGGAGAATGCAGGAGAGCA